AATGTGGGACTTCACTTCACACTTGAATTCCAACACTCCCCCTCAAGTGTGAATCCCTTCCACATGGTCACGCTCCCACTCAAGCGGAAGCTTTTTCTTTCGTCCATGAGTATTCAATGGTGGCCTTACTTGGACTACCGTTGCACTTCAACGACACACGTCCTCCACACCTTTAGGGACAATACAAGGGATGATCCTACTCTTGTATCTCCTGCCAATTCCATTTAGGATCCCACTCTTAGATCCAACCAATACTCGTCTGTGGCGATCACCAGTCACTTGGTCGAACCATCAACTCTAATACCAATGTTGGGGAGTTTTTAACTCCGGGGAGCACTCCACATAATGGGTAGTGAGTAAGTCACACAAGTAAACTTGACACCACAACATATCCTAAAACCTTAAGGCAATAGGTAGGTGGGTCTTTCTCACTTATATATTACTCAACATGCTCAACTCTAACCAATGTGAGACTTCACTTCATACTTGAATTCTAACAGCTTTCATGAAAGAAACCTTAAGAAAAAAACATCACTCTTACTGGTTCAATAGGCAAACAAATCCCGAATTAGTCGTTTTAAAGTGTAACATTTAGTATGATGAATGAAGAAACTTTATGTTATTTGATTAGTCTCTTTTATTATTGTTAATGTTAATTCCTAACAAAAGGTATATGTAGTAACATGACACCCTGCATGAAAAGTCACATTAGAAAGATGAGGAATGAAAGGCAATGATCAACTTGTAGAGGTCTTCGGGATATAGTGTCAAACTGGTCAAGGTCGATCCAATGGTTAGAGTAACGACCTATCACTCAAATATTTTACATACCAAGCTTGAAAACTCTAACAATTGCTTAACATTCTATGATTGTTGTGAAGTATGCCTTAGAGATTTAAAGACCATGGATGTCCTAAGTTCAGAATTTTGATTTCATTTGTGATATAAAGTTATATATATACCATATGTAGAGGCATATATTCTCTCGGTTACTTCCCAATGGAAAAAGTATAGATCCATATAGAGTTAAAGTTGAGATAGTGCAATTAGATTAATCTTAGGCCCGTAAAGTCTTGTTAATTATGTGATTAATTTTTAATAGGACGCCTACCATCAATTTGTAGATAAGTGTGAAACCAATATTCCTCACTTTTCTTTTTATTTTTATTTTTTCTTTTTGTGTGTGTACCTATTGAATGGATGTGCAAATAAGAAGTTAACTTGTTGCGTCGTATATATGTCAAAGAGTGTGAAGACCTATAGGAAAATGTAGAACTTGAAGACTAAATTTAATTATTTATTCTTATGTTAGTTAGAGTAGAATTTATGCACTACTCTAGTTCAGTTATTTGATGTATGAATTTTTGAATATATCATAATTTTTTTTATATAACTATCTATGGTAATTTCTTGTTTTATGACCATGTTTATAACAATCCCTTTTAATTTTCTATTTTTGTTTCCAAATTTCATATTTATAAGTTAAGAAATAAATGCAAAAGGTTTACTGTAGTTTTCTAATAACAAATAAGTAAATAAATTAATAAGGGGTGTTGCTAATGTAATTAGGTGTTATAAAAACCAAAGTTTGATTTTAATAAACAATAATATAAATATATTTGCATTAAAATTAGTATAAATTATCAAAGTGAGATTTCAATTTTAATAATAGAATTCTACTAAAAGTAATTGAAGAATTATCCCCTTTATTTGTTTTTATAAAAACAACTTAGAAGCTTTGTGTGATCTTTTTTATGAGAGTTTAATCTAGAATGTCTTTTGCCTTTTATAATGGTTTGAGTTAGTTTGAGTTCAAATTTTGAGTATTTAGGGTTTGAGTTAATTATTTGAAGGAAAAGTTATCACCTACTTGTCTTGAATAAGATTGCATCTAGTAAAGAATAACAACCGTCTTTATCAAAAAGAAGAAAAAAAATGCTTCTTGCATTAAATTCTTTATAAGAAAATTCTTAATTATGATTCATTTTTCTTGGATTAATAAATAATAGGTGAAATACATTAGTGTCTTAGTTTTTGAGATTCTAATTCGCCTGCAAAACATTTGAGAAACTTAAAGTCCATTTACTTCTATTGTCATTTCCAATTTTTACTTTTAAATAAAAAAGTGTTACCTTATTTTCAACAAGTATTTATTCTTTTCAAATATTTGTACGTGAAAAAGTAAAAAAAAAAAAAATATATATATATATATATATATATATTTTAACCCTCTCATCTCTCATAATAAATTCTCTATCACTTGATATTGCTCCATATATATATATATATGAGAGAGATGAGAGGGTTAATATATATA